GATGCCTGCACCCTCAGACCCCAAGAAGGGTCCCGATGCCTGCACCCTCAGACCCCAAGAAGGGTCCCAATGTCTGCACCCTTAGACCCCAAGAAGGGTCCAGATGCCTGCACCCTCAGACCCCACATGGGTCCCAATGCCTGCACCCTCAGACCCCAAAAAGGGTCCCGATGTCTGAACCCTCAGACGCCAAGAAGGGTCCCAATGCCTGCACCCTGATACCCCAAGAAGGGTCCCGATGCCTGCACCCTCAGACCCCAAGAAGGGTCCCGATGCCTGCACCCTCAGACCCCAAGAAGGGTCCCGATGCTTGCATCCTCAGACCCCAAGTGGTGTATTTTCTGCAAATACTAAGAGGCCCTGATTCCAACCTCATCATGTAATTTATAAACAGGTTAAAGAGCACTGGCCAGGATTGGACAGGACCCTGGCGCACACTACTAGTGTGGCCCCCCTAGGCCAAATCATTTATATATCCATGAATATACAATTGCTACCTACTGTACTACCTACTTTGTACAGGCAGGTAGTAACACAATGACAAGAAGAATCAATGAACTACCTAAAGCACTCACCAGTGCCCTTGTAGATTACTAAGAACTGCAAGCCGTCAGCCACCAAGGCTGTTGGTACTTGTAGTTCATGCACAGAGCTCTATGGACGAATAATGCGGCCATGTGGACAGAGCCCCACATGGCCACGCTCTTTTCAAATAGTGACAGCATGTGCCAGGAGAAGATTCCCAGTCCGCTGTTATGGGGCGGAGTGGGGAGTGGCTACAGGAGCGGAAACATGTTACATGTTCCACCCTTAAAACAGGTGGTGGAACATGTAACATGTTTCCAAAGGTGAACTTATTTTTTAAAGACCCATTACCTTTGCGCAATTTTTTTCTCATTATGCCCTCTGATTCTCCCACCTGTGCAAACAGCACAAATGAAGGAATATCCATAGTTGCATAGTTAATCTGGCTGACAAAAGACAAACGTTCATCCAGTTCAACCATGAAAAAAAAAGTTATAATCTTATACCCACAGTTGATTCAGAGGAAGGCAAAAAACTCAGCAAAGCATGATCCAACCAAGGGGAAAAAATGCCTTCCTGATCCCCCAAGACAAACAGATATTCCCAGGATCAACTTTACCTATAAATGTTAATATCCAGTTATATTCTGTGTACCTAGGAAAGAATACAGGCTTTTTTTAAAGCAATCCACTGAGCTGGCCAGAACCAACTCTTGAGTGAGTCTATTCCACATTTTCACAGCTCTTACTGTGAAGAAACCTTTCCATTTTTAGAGATTAAATCTCTTTTCTCCAGACGTAAAGAGTGCCCCCTTGTCCTCTGTGATGACCTCAAGGTGAATAACTCTACACCGAGTTCACTGTATGAACCACTGATGTATTTATACATGTTGATCATATCCCCCTTAATCTCCTCTTCTCAAGAGAGAATAAATTCAGTTCCTCTAATCTTCCCTCATAGCTGAGCTCCTCCATGCCTCTTATCAGTTTGGTTGCCCTTCACTGCACTTTCTCCAGTTCCCCAATGTTCTTTTGGTGAATTGGTGCCCAAAACTGAACTGCATATTCCAGATGAGGCGTTACTAATGATTTATAAAGGGGTAAAATGATATCTCTCTCTGGAGTCTATATCTCTGTTAATACAAGAGAGGATTTTGCTCACTTTAGAAACTGCAGCTTGGCATTGCATGCCATTATTAAGCTTATGATCTACCAGAACTCCCAGATCCTTCTCCATCATTAATTCCCCCAGTTGTACCCCCTCTAGTATGTATGATGCTTGCATATTCTTAGCCCCCCAAGTGCATAACCTTACATTTATCAACATTAAACCTCATTTACCGCATAGTTGCCCAATTAAACAGTGCATTGAGGTCGGCTTGTAAGTTGTATCCACTGCCAGTTATTGTACTTCTACCACAACTTCTCATAGCATAATTTCAGCTATTAGCTGACAAAAGGGAAACATAGATTAACATTCCCTCTGCATGATGTATCGTATAGGGAAATGTGTAATCTACAGATTACAAGCGGGAAGATGTTAAGCTAAATGAACACTTAATTTGCACAGTGGACATTCTCAACGCCTACGGTAAATTAACAACTCTGAATGTATTTTTCACTACGTTTATATAAGAATGGGAAAAATGAGACAAAGCAATATCAGTAGACACCCTTAAAAAACAATAGACATTTTAAAAAAGCTTGGAACATGTCTGTGTTGTGGATGTACACATCACCTCCTGAGGCATGATGTTTATGCAATGTTTAGTGTGTACGGGTGTCAAACTGGTGGCCCTCCAGCTGTTGCCAAACTACAAGTCCCATGAGGCATTGCAAGATTGGCAGTTACAAGCATGACTCCCAAAGGCAGAGGCATGATGGGACTTGTAGTTTCACAACAGCTGGAGGGCTGCCAGTTTGGCACCCCTGGTTTAGTGAATGTTAACAAAGCAATAGTCTGAATTAAAAAGACTGTGTTAAATATTTATTAAGTGGTAGACATACTAAAATAAGGATTTGTTTGTATTATGTTTAATATGTTGAAGCCCAAATAATCCTAAAATACAAATCAATCATGCAAAAAAAAGCCCTACACTATCATTCCAGTTTGAAACTGGTAGTTATTTTTTATGATAGATAATCCTTTCCTAACTATTCAGGTAAAAAAGATAATCTGTGCTGAATTAACGTCTGACTTACGAACTTCAAAAGTTTGGGAAATATGCTTCAAATTTTCACCAAGTGGGACTGCAAGGTAAATAGTTAATAAAAAAAATCCCCTAGGAACTTGTGGTTGAAAGATTTCTCAACCCTGTGAAACCATTTAAAACCCATTGCGCCTGTAATAACCATCCTTCCCCATTGACTGTAATAGAGAAATGTTGCCAAAATGTTTGCAATTTTTCTAAACCTTCAGGGAAACAAAAATTCCCCATTTCAATCATTCCTAATTCTGAGTTATTAACCAAGAACCAAACAGGTAGCATGTGAAGTTGGAACAGTTAATATGCCTACTATATCTACACCTGTGACCCCCAGGCAACTCATTTTTTCAGAAGCACACAAATGCAGTTTAGACTGGTTCCAAAGTCTATGTGTCTCCTCCCTTTCTTGATTCACTGAATACAATAGGAGCAGCAGGAGGGAACAGAAGGACTGATCGAGCCGGGCTGTGTGTGTCTATGGACTCACACACCCCAGCTCAGGAGCACTCTTGTGCAGGTGCCCCCATGACTTTAAATATTTTTCTCAGTACATAGGAATCTGAAAATAAACCCTCTAGCAGGGGCGGACTGACCATTTGGAAACTCGGGCACTGCCTGAGGGCCCGGGGTCAGTAGGGGGCCCCATGAGATGCTCCTGGTACCTTTTTCATAGGCTTTTTTGAGTTTGGGCAAGGATACAGGGGCCCCATGATCCCCTATTGCCCAGGGGCCCCATGAGTTGTCAGTCCGCCCCTGCCCTCTAGTGTAATATTTTGAACATTTAGCTTCAGACATAATAGGAGAACATTCCTTCGTGATATCATCCTTCTTCTGCACAATATTTTTTATCATTTGGTTTAAAATGTACTGTGTTGTGAAGAATAGTATCAGCATATACAGTTTCTGGGAAAACGTGGTCTGATAAGCATAAGCGCAGTTGACATAGTCTACTGACTGAAAGACTAAAGGACATTGCTCAGGATTATGACCCGGAATAAGAAAACAACTGCTGCAAAAGTGACTGCAGAGCTCAATCTCAGCTCGTGAAGACTGAGATTGAGCTCTGCGATCAGTTTTTCAGCAGTTGTTTCCTTATTCTGGGTAACAATTCTACGCAATTTCTTTTTATCTCTTTCCGTCAGTTGACCATGTCAACCGCACCTATGCTTAACAGATGATGTTTTCTTTGAAACAGCTATTATAACCTTTGATAATGTACCTCACGACACGGCAAATAAATTGGCAACTTCAGTCACAGAGGCACCAGCTAAGCGGGCACCAACAATTTGCCCTCTTGTAAGCTCTGACATGACTCCGTATTACTAGCAGTGCACACAGTGAATGAGGAACGTGAGGCTTCCCACCTGTTAGCGAGGTGTCTGATCACACATCAAAAGCAAAAGAATGTTACATCATTTCCGCTTATAATGCAAACCTGTTATCATTTTCATACCTGCAAATCATGTAGCGCTTCCAGTTTTTCATCTAACCCCTGTATATTTTTATTATTATTATTATACAGGATTTATATAGCGCCAACAGTTTGTGCAGCGCTTTACAACATAAGGGCCAACAGTACAATTACAATACAAATTAATACAGGAAGGGACAGATTCATTTAATTTCCCCTATAATTTGGTTGGTCTAACATTTTTCTGTTTCTTTTTTTTTAGGACACAAGGATTTTCACAGTGAACTTTAAGAAGCTTTGAGAAATTTTTCAAGTGCTTGAAGATTCTAATGGCTGTAAAATATATAACTCCAGTGATAACATCAAGTTTTAAACCCACCCCAGATCAACACAAACTATGGCAATTAGCTTTTGCAGATGAGAAAATTCAAAGATTTATTTTGAGGGAACATTATCTTTTAGCTCTCTGATATTTGTGCCAAAAACAAATCTAATACATTTCTGCTATTTAATTAATAAGAAACCATGCTGGGATATGTAAAAAAAAGTTTATTTTTGGTGAAACATTATAGCTGCATTATTTTACAATATATGTAACAAAATTAAATATAATCACTATCAATATATTATCAATAATGTTTAATCAACAACACAAATGTAAAATATGCTTGACGCTGTTGGCTATAAACATTTTTAACAAGAAAATTTATGCTTAATATATAAATTGAATGTATTTATTTTTTTTAAATGAACCAACCAATTAAAATAAAATTTACCTAAATATACATCAACTCAAAGCTATGCACTAAAAACACAAACATCCTCTACAATATTGGCTCAAATACACTGAAATTATTCATGAAAATAAATGATATAAAAATGAATTTCTATAACCAAACTCTGGACCCACAGCTCGACATTGTGCCAGAGAGCTTGCTAAATTTGTCTGGGACAGATACAGAATGGGATGAATCAACAGTATTAGGAATAAAGATCACACTTGCACTGCTTTTATCATTATTAACACTAGCAACCCTTCTTTCAAATGTTTTTGTAATTATTACTATATTTATGACTCGAAAGCTTCACACCCCAGCAAATTATTTGATTGGTTCATTGGCATTTACAGATTTATTGGTGTCTATTTTAGTAATGCCTGTCAGTATTGTCTACACTGTAAACCACTCATGGTCATTTGGTCAGATAATATGTGACATCTGGCTGTTATCGGATATCACCTGCTGTACAGCTTCCATACTCCATCTCTGTGTTATCGCATTAGACAGATACTGGGCCATCACAGATGCACTTGAATATTCTAAACATCGCACAGCAGGAAGAGCAGCCGCAATGATTTCAGTGGTGTGGGTAATAGCTATATGTATCTCCATCCCACCACTCTTTTGGAGACAAGCCAAAGCTCAAGAAGAACTTATGGACTGTTCCATCAACACAGATCAGATTTCTTATACTATATACTCTACCTGTGGTGCATTCTACATACCTACAGTATTGTTGATTATATTATATGGAAGAATATACATAGCAGCAAGGACACGAATTCTTAAACCACCATCCATTTATGGAAAGAGATTTACTACTGCTCAGTTAATCACTGGTTCAACTGGGTCGTCTTTCTGTTCAGTTAATGTAAACTCTCATGGAGGTCATCCACTCACTGGAGTATCTCCAGTGTGTATCAACCATATCAAGATAAAACTTACAGACAGTGTTCTGGAAAGGAAGAGATTGTCCGTAGCCAGAGAAAGAAAAGCTACAAAAACTCTTGGAATAATTCTCGGGGCTTTCATTGTATGCTGGTTGCCTTTCTTTGTGGTGTCTCTGGTCTTACCTATATGTAGAGATGCTTGCTGGTTTCATCCATTATTATTTGACTTGTTTACTTGGCTGGGATATTTTAACTCTCTTATCAACCCTGTAATATACACAGCCTTCAACGAAGATTTTAAACAAGCTTTTCAAAAACTTATAAGGCTTAAGAAGCTTTCTTAGAACTTTCTGGAATGTAATCCCTGCCATACGGAAGTGTGCGATGCTGCTAGCTCTCTAAATATTGGTGGAACTAATATTAAAAAAGACAAGTAAAAATATATGAAATTGAACTGCTTATAGACATGAAAAGCCATCACATCCATGCCAGGAATGTTATTAAAAACAAAACATATTTTAAGAAATAATTTCGTATTGTTTTTACTTGAGCAATTTATGAACACATGACTGTGCATTACCCAATATAACTCAAAAGTTTATGATTATTGTTTTATAAAGCAGAGAAGTCAACACTGTTTTGTATACCTTGTGTTTACCATATGTGGCTAGGTGGTCAATATCAAAACATGAATGGCATGTTTTCCTGTATGGAGAAAAATACAAATTATTTGATATAATATGCATGAATAGCCATAGCTATTAACAATGTTATTGTTATTTGTGGTTTCAATTTGCAAAATGATTCTCCTAATCTTTTCAGCATATTGCACTATGCAGAAAATAATATACACTTCCCTGTGTATTCTTAAAAATGCCATTCCCTGTAGTGGATCTACTGTAATAGTTTCCCATAAAATCATCACATGACACCATAGCCAGAGATTCCTGCACATCCATTTAATTTCTATCGAACCTGTGTCAAAAAAGTTATGCCTCTTATGTACTTGTACATTAAATCAAAACAGCACAAATTAAATATACAATTCATCAATCGTCAAAGGAACAAGTTGTCATCCTGAAGAAGTACGCCATTTGATTTTGGGGGTTCCATCTCTTAAACCAGTTGATTTTATTATAGCTTACATTCAGTCTTATCCAACTGTTATTTGTCTTCATAGTATCTTTCACCTAGCCTTTATGGACTCTTCTTAATTTTGTGATATATATTACATTGGATGGAACGTGAGGAATGTGTCAAGAGTATAAGAAGTAAAGGTTGTTCAAATTAAGATCAAATTGTTAGTGGACCTCAGCCAACCTTTCTAGAAACACACCTAAATGTTATAAAACTGTGTCATCACTCCAGTATAAAGCCAACCCAGCCTAAAGTACATAAACAGACTCAAACAAAGGAATAATATATTCTAAACATATGATAAATATTGATCAAAGTATATCAAAATAATGCATCTAACTATATGTAAATGGAATGCTGCTGATACAAGTTACATAAAAAAAACTGGTATACCATAGTGGGGAACCTGGTAACCTGTGCCACAGCATGCATGGAGTGGCAGCAGCTGCCCATTGGGCTAACACAACCACCCAACTGGCGCCACGTGTCAGCTAAAAAAGTGGATGGGTGCAGTAAGGCCAGGGGCCATACATGCTCATCCAAGGAAGGTACCAATGATGTAACATATGTTGTGCCAAGATGAGAGTTAAAGGAATGTGAACAAATACCCATCTATTTATAAATACAGGCATATACAGTATATACAGTAGCAGTAAATCATTTTTGAGACAGGGACACCCAGAAACAGTCCAAGTGGCTTTGTCCTGCACTTCTACTTTGCTTTGTACAGCATAAACCAAGCAAAACATTTGCTTGTCCAAGCCACCAACAAAATGCAAGTCAGTTTCTAACTAAGCAGAATATCCCTCCAATGGGATCCCTAACCTAACACAAATAGACAGCGCTTGTACCATTTTTAATGTTCTACCAGTAGTCAGTCTTTTCACAAAGCAGCAAGCTCACACAGCAGAAGAAGTAATAGAGAGAGTGAAAGAACCTGAACTTCACTCCTATCACATATATAACCGCTTCCCGACTGCCCTATTATTATTATTATTATACAGTATTTATAAAGCGCCAATAGTTCGCTCAGCGCTGTACATTACAGACCTATAGCAAAAATACCGCTACAGGGCGGCACGGTTGCGCAATGAGTACTGCTCATTTTTGCACCAGTTACATTTTCATGACAAGTTTCAGAAGTGTCTACCCCCTTCGTCTCAGTCCAAGCAGTACTAATACAGTGCTGTGATAAAGTATTTGCTCCTTCCTGATTTTGTTTTTTTTTTTGCATATTTGTCACAGGTACATGATTCAGATCATCAAAGAAATTTTAATATTACACAAACATAGTCCCAACAAATATAAAATTCAGTTTTTAAATGATGATTTCATTTATTAAGGGAAAAAAGCCTTTTAAACCTGCCTGGCCCTATGTGAAAAAGTAAATGCCCCCTAAACTTAATAACTGGTTGTGCCACCTTTGAATACATGGTTCCATCAATTATGGCAAGTTGTCCAAATGCTGAAGCTGCAAAGCAGCTCCAGGCCATCCAACTACCACTACCATGTTTGACTGTTGGTATTAATTTCTTTTTATGAAATGGCATGTTAGTTTTATGCCAGATGTAACGGGATGCACACTTTCCGAAAAGTTCAACTTTCGTCTCATCAGTAGGCAGAATATTTGGCCCAAGATCTTGGGGATAATCAAGGAGTTTTTTTGGCAAATGTGAGACAAGCGTTTGTGTTCTTTTTGGTCAGCAGTGGCTTTTGCCTTGGAACTATCCCATGGATGCCATTTTTGCCCAGTCTCTTTCTTATTGTTGAATCATGAACACTGATCTTAACTGAGGCAATTAAGGCCTACAGTTCTTGAGATGTTTTTCTGGGTTTTTTATGACCTCCTGGATGAGTTGTCATTGTGCTCTTGGAATAATTTTGGCAAGCTGGCCACTCCTGGGAAGGTTCAGCACTGTTCCAAGTTTTCTCCATTTGTAGATATTGGCTCTCACCATGGTTCACTGGAGTGCCAAAGCCTTAGAAATGGCGTTGCAACTCTTTCCAGACTGATGCATGTCAATTACACTGTTTCTCATCTGTTCTTGAATTTCTTTAGATTTTTAGTGTGCTTCTATTTAAGCGATTTCTTGATTCAACAGGTCTGGCAGTAATTAGGCCTGGGACTGGGAAGTTAAATTTAATTCAGCTTTCCAAAAAATGTGGTAAATCACAGTTCATTAAGGATTTAGCAAGGGAGGGGGACATTGCTTTTTCACATAAGGCCAGGCAGGTTTGTACAGTCTTTTTTCCTTAATAAATGAACTAATCATTTAAAAACTGAATTTTGTATTTACTTGGGTTATCTTTCTGCAATATTAAAATTTGTTTGATAATCTGAATAATTTCAGTATGAAAAATATGCAAAAAAGTAAAAAAATTAGGAAGGGGCTAATATTTTAGCACAGTACTCTGCACAAAGGTTAAGCAAAATGCTGGACCTCACTTTGTGTATGTGAGAAACCTTGGTGCCTACAATTCTATCCTGCCAGCCCATGGCTCACAAAAGTGTGTGTGTACCATTCACAATTTTAATCAAATCTATATGGCCAAACAATTCAAACCAGTATGAAAAACAGCTGCACATACCTTTCCAATAGTACAGCAGAGCTTTTGAGCAATTAAAAAGAAAAAAATGTCTTTTGGTTGTGTGAAACTGGGAAAATGAAATTTGTCCTAAACTCATATGAAGCATACAAGGGAGCTGCACACCAATAATGTCACTGGCTGGTAAAACCTTTATTCACAGTGAAAACACATGTATGCCCACATCTTGGATGCCTGAAAAAAGTTTTTACTGGCCATTGATGTCAATTGGCACGCGGTTCACTTGTATGCATGGACAAAACATGCAGAGCGAGGATAGGCTCCTGAGATTTCACCTGTACAGTACTCAGATTGAGGGATGTATGTGATCTTGGATTGGAGACATTTGTTTGTCTTACAGCAACCATGAAAAACTGTCAACTAAATTGCCACAATTATATGATATATATATATGAGTCAATACAAGGCACATTAAGACATTTAAGTACATCCTATAGCACTGGCTTAATAATGGAAAATGTACCATTGAAACAATACATTTAGATAAACTTCAATGGATTAAATGTATTATTTTACAACATTACTCAAGAACAAATTAACAAATAAATAGAAAACAGAAAGAAGGTGATTAAGGAAACAGGCTAATTTGGTATTTTACTATCTTTAACAACTGTGGTTGCAATAAATTAAACAAATTTTGTTAATTACTGCAAAACATTTTTTTTTACAAATACTTTGCTTCAGTATTACCATTTAAAGAATTATGCAAGTGAAATAAATAAAGATCACAGTGTTGTATTCAATATTTAAACATTCTACATATGACATTTATTTTGCAAACTCATGTTACTGTCAAGTATTCAAGAGTTAAAAAATCAGTACATTGAGGAATTCGATTTTTATTTTTATAGCAGGAGCTGCCATTGCTAGACTTAATTTTCTGTAAAAAGAAAACCTTTTTTATTCTTGACAAAAAGCGTGTTTTTTGTTTAATTATTCTTTTGAGGGTCAGAAACCATTTTTCCCCCAGCATCCCTTATAGGTGTTATACTAAATTGACCCTGTTCTGGCAAGATCCTTATGTGCATCCTGATTGGCACAAGCATTAGTTCTTTGGAAAGGACTTCATTGATTGTCCCAGGAGTTTGCAGACCCCACCTGGCAGAAATTTGAGAAGAAGAAGCTGCTCAGGGCCTAGCAGAATGCTCAGTAAAGATCCTCTTGGAGCTGACACATAGGTAAGTATAATTCTTAAATGGGTTGCAGGGAAGGGCACCTGACAATTAAAATGATGAGTGCTGTAATGCTTGTGACCAATGATAGCTGATACCTAGAAGCTGTCAAATTTAGGACTATTAGCATGTGTCGGTTTAACCTTGACTAATTTGCATACATAAACATTTTTTGTATATATTTTTTATAGACCTATAGGAATTTCTATTACACTGTTTTAATAAACACTTTTGCTCTTTTTGTTATTGTAGGCCGCACATTTGTAGAAATAACATGTAAACTAAATTATTCATTTTTTAATACTGCATTTCTATCTGACAGTTACAGTATTAAACAGATGAACACTGTCACCTTCAGGCTGCTGTTATTAAATGGACGTATTTTGTCAATGAAGCCTCTAGTGTTTATGTGATCACAGAAATAGTCAATAACTAGAGTTCCTGATTATCAGTGAAGACTGGAACTGTCAGTTGCAGTTGGAACTGAGAGCCGTCAGCTACATAGTGTATCAGTTGGGGGCTCCTAAAGAGAGGACATCTACTAACATATACCCAATAGGGGCATCCTGCTGCAAAAAATTAACCTTTTTTCTACCAGGCCCTATGCTCCACTTTTAAAGCTAGACGGCCATGCAATTTTTGCAATTTTACCTTTTTTTATTTTTTGCTTATACTGTAGCTCTCAGAGTTTGTAAAAGACTCCCCAAACCATACACTTTCTGAAAGCCTAGGACTAAGAGAATAAAAAGGAGTTGCTTATTGTTTTTTAGGTCTTGAAATAGTTGCACAACTGTTGATCAAAACAATATTTTTGCTAAAAATACACTAAAACCATTATTAGCAGACCCAAATAAAGCAAAACTTACAAAATTCCTACTAAATCTAGCAGATAAAACTGTATTGAGTTAATAAACACCAAATATTTGTAAATTTTCAATCATGCCTTTTTTGCAAAATGGTCAAAATCGATGCACCCACAACTTTTAAAATCTAGAGGTTATAATTTTTTGCAATTATAGCTTTCAGTTTGTAAAAGAAACCATACATTTGCTGAAAGCACAGGACTAGTAAAATAAAAAGAAGGTGCAACTTATTTTTTTTAGGTCAAAACAATATTTTTTCTAAAAATAAACTAAAATCATTATTATGCGACACAAATACAACTTACAAAAAGTCTACTAAATCTAAAAGCTAAAACTGTACTGAGGTAGTAAATAACACATATTTGATACATACATATAGGGGTTTATAAGTGGCTCAGTTTGTGTCCTGGATGTAAGGTCACATGCATACAGCCATGGTGTCTGTCAGCCTGTCATTGATTCATAGAAGCTGCTGCCTGTGGCACAACTCTGACCCCTAGGAAAAGAAATAGGTCTTGTTGCTGGTCAACCCTTTGTGTGTAAATGAGATCTTGGGCTCATTTATATGAGTACAGGGGTCCTTACAATATGAATCAGCAGGTTGTTTATGTGGCTGGAGCTGTGCAAGCAGCATATGTTACTCTATGAGCATGCAGTGGCTGTGTAAACACAGCAGCAGGTCCTAATTCGACCAGCATGTGGGTGCGTGGCCCCAAATGCAGATAGTATGCATTCGAGATTGCTTACTGACACCCACACATCTGTAAAATTAGCAACTGTACCCGATCAGCTGCTTTGTTCCTATAGAGTAACATGGTCTACCTGAATACTGCTCCTGGAAGCTTTAACAGCATAAATAACACATTCATGCTGTATGTGACAGAGCACCCATATGAATAAATCATAGATGGATTGGAATTCGACTGGTTTAGCAGGGACTGGCTGAATCTTGATCCATGTGTGGCTATCCCTGTTTGACAGAAATCGATCATTAGATGGAATTCTGTCAAATGGGAATGTTGGTGGTAAACTTTTGTTGATCAGTGGCTGCAGAGACTGATCACTGTATTCTGACAGTGGAGAGGACTGCTGTCAGAATACAACGTTGTACAGTGTTCCAATGGGGAGGGATTCTTTCGTCCATTTCATTTGTGTGGATGATGGAACTGCAGAATATTGGGGGGCCATGAAGAGGCTCTGCAGCTTACCGTGTATTTGCAAATGTGTGCTAACTAAACCGCTGTTTTTAACACATACTGTTAGACAGGACAATTTGGTTTGTTTGCAAGCTGGTCGGTAAGTTGAGCTTGGAATTTTTTCTTTTATTGTTTGACATGTGTCCCCCTGCCATGTGCTCCTTGCTGTGAAGGCCAGTTATAGACTGGGGCAGTGGCCATTTTTTGTACTGTTGATATGCTGGTGAGAGGGTGCTCTGGACACCCTGGCTGCCATTGTGCTATATGCTGGGTGTCCAATGCACCCCTGTACCTTTAAGGAGGGGTGGGCTCCCTCAGGTTCACCTGTCATCAGTCTATCCATTTATACATGTGCTTCTACTATGGAGGCTCTCAAAATTTAGAGTTAGGAACTGCAGAATATTGGGGTGCCGTGAAGAGGCTCTGCAGCTTATACATCTATTTGCAAATGTGCGCTAACTAAACCGCTGTTTTTAATGCATACTGTTAGACAGGACAATTCGGTTTGTTTGAAAGCTGGTCGGTAAGTTGAGCTGGGAAGTTTCCTCTTTTATTGTTTGACATGCATCACCCTTCCATGTGCTCCTTGCTGTGAAGGCCAGTTATAGATTGGAGTGGCCATTTTTTGTACAGTGTGGATGATGGAGCCTGTTTTTTTATTTTTTTCATACAGCCACATCAGGGATGTAAATTCACTAAATGAATGAACAGGAAGTGTTCTGTACAGAGCCTTCATGTTCATTCACAAAATCAACCATAGTAAACACACAATTTACTTTTGCTTCAGTTATAAATGAACACAGTGAGTGGTACAAACCACTCACTGTATTCATCCAGGAAAGGAAGAGGCCAGTAACTATATCATATTTATTTATATCCTGAAGCTGATCCTCCTGTGCACACAGCGGAGTGGGGAGGGTGTGGGGGTGCAAATATTTTTTAATTATTATTTATTTATTTCAGGTAATTATACAGTGCTGTCAATTTGCGCAGGGCTTTACACATATATTATATTTTCACATCAGTCCCTAACCCTCCAGGTGCGTACAATCTAAGGTCCCTAACTTACATTCATACATACACATATTAGGGCCATTCCAATCAACCTACCAGCATGTCTTTGGAGTTTGGGAGGAAACCTTATCCCCCTGTGGTTCCCCTTGCAGCAGCTGCCAGCAGGAGGGAGAGGAGGAGAAATTGTCAGCACTGCATGGGGGGATATAGGGGGATCAGTTTGGGGGGGGGGGGTCGAAGAAGCTGAGGGATCAGAGTAGAGGAAGACAGGGGGAGGAGATCTTAGAGTGGCAGGAGGTGGTGGAGGTAGAAAAGATACAGGACAGAGCAACAGTGGTAGGCTGGGGTGGGTCATAATTTAAATAAATAGCTATACTCAGTGGATTGCCAGCCACTGATAATAGCTATTCTTGTGTTCAGCAGGGTCTGCTGAACAGTTCTGCTATGTGTTCCTGGTCATTAAGGTGACAATGGGCCTATAGCAGAAGGGAGAATTCCAGTGATTTAAACCTACTGAGCTGGCCAGTTTAAAGCGGTTCTGTGCCATTGTAGGTTTTACACCACTGTCAGTGCCCATTCACAAATATGAACCACATCCAATCCGCATGACATGTGAAAAAATATTGCTTCTTTTGGTGCCTGTTCACATATGTCCAGTGCACTGGCGGTGCGGTTTCAATGCGTGTGATTGGAGTCACTTTGGGTGGGGGGCCCATGGAACTCAGCTCACTTTGGAGAGGTGGAAAGACCCCTGTCTCAGCTCCCCATATCCCTCTTATGTGTAAATCACCCTGTGCCTGTTAGGGGTACAGGGTGATCTGTTCTAATATTGGGGTGGGGGGTTGTTGATTGTTTAATGTCATGTGGCTGCATCCCATTGTTCTATTGTCTTTCTGGCTTGGGAGCAAACTATTATGGGATGTCTGTGTTTATGTGTATTAGCTTAGTGGGGGGGGGGGGTCTCCAGCAGCCCTTCCCCTGACGGGACTGTCTGCTGATGTGAAGGTGGAATACCTGTGTGTCTTTTGTTACTAACTGTAGATTGCCCCGCCCTGTTTTATTATGCAGGGAAGGGGGACTGTCCCCTGAGTGTATATATCTTATATCTGTGTTCAAATAAACTAGTCTACCTCTTGGTTTACTTCAAGACTGGTGTTATCTAGTCTTGTATGATCGGCTGTGGTGTCTGTTGTCGGTGCTCGGATGAGGAAGAGGTATTCTAACAGAAGTACTCAAGAGCAATCTGGGTCAGTGCCGTTACAGTGCGGTTTTCAAAAGAGTTATCTGCGATTTCTGAGAGGTGCGGTCCTGTTCAAGTGCAGATTGCAGGCTATTGATTTCTATAGGAATTGTTTCTAAACCACATATGTGTGAACACGAGAAGATCCTGAACCTGATGTAAACCTGACTTGAACCGCTGAACAACTACTGTACCAATTAGCTGTGAAACCTGAGCTTCAATCCGCACCGCACATGTGTGAATCAGCTCTCAGAGTTTAAAGGATTAGTGTACCGATTGTAGGCTGGAAGAGCTTAACAAAATACTACTGTTCTTAATGTACAACAAAATTTACTGTAATATCAGATGTTACATCTAACATGATTTTGTTTTTTATGTAGGGAACCATAGACAGTCACAGACACCACAGAAATCGGCAAAATATGAATTAGTATCACCATCTGCACTCATCCTAGTGATCTATAATTCACAATAAGAACATAGATGACTTTGTTGCAGGATTACATAAATCCAGATGCCTTACACAGATGTGTCAGCATCCTATAATGATGAGAATCATTATGCATATTTAATTTTTTTCCAGATCCATTTTACAAAAATGTTCCTGATATCTTTATTTCTTAAAGTATAGATGATAGGGTTCATCAAAGGTGTCACCACAGTGTAGAGCAGTGACATTGTCTTATTTAGGTTTAACGCATGTTCACTTTTAGGAATCACATAGATGGTTATTAATGTCAGGTAATATGTACAGACCACAGCCAAATGTGAGCTGCAGGTTGAGAAGGCCTTTTGTTTTCCAATAGATGATGGAATGCGAAGTACAGCGATGGCAATACGAAGGTAAGTTATGAAAATGAAAATAAATGGAAATAGAACAATGGGAATGGAAAAAAAAAATATCTGTGTTTTTCACCAGAGAAACATCAGAACAGGAATGCTCCAGAAGAGGTGCCAAATCGCAGTAGTAATGATCAATAATATTTGAACCACAGAATTGCAGTGTACATAACTGAATAATCACAATCAGAGTTGATGAAAAACTAAAGATCCATGTTATTACAGCTAGCCGGAAGCAAAAGCTTAAGCTCATTAAAGAATTATAATGCAGTGGATTACATATTGCCATATATCGGTCATAGGACATTAGTGTAAGAAAGAAGGATTCAGCATTGGTTGAAACAGAGAATATATAGAACTGAATGACACAACCAATCACGGAGATAATGGCACCTTCTACCAAGACTATGTGAAGCAGATTAGGAATAATGTTTATTGTGAACATCATTTCAGCAGAGGCCAATTGACAAAGGAAAAAATACATTGGTGTGTGCAAATGTTGCACTGATGCTACTACCAGGAGAATAAAAATATTAACAACTATCGTCATACACTGAACCAGCAAAAGGAAAAGGAAAAACATAATCTTTAAATCTGAGAGATTCTGAAACCCAAGAAGAAAGAATTCTGTAATGAATGTCTTGTTCACTTCTTGCATTCTGTCTTGCTGTGGGTCTGTATAATATTTTTGCCAAAATGTAGGAAAATATGTATAATAGCTGTGGTTGGAGTGCATACAATGAAATATGATTTATCATTATTGACATGAAGGCAATAAAAAAGGACATTATTAACAAATGATTTATGGGTAGAAACACCTTTTCCCCCAAATATGTGTCCAGAAAAGTAACCTTCATTAGTAATACATAGTTTTAATCAGGATACATTTATGTTATTAATAACATTAATAGTTATTATCAATCAAGGTCATCTCTTGCAATTTTAGTATACAGGAAAGAAAACAGATCAAATCCCCGGAGCGAAAATACTGCTTAGTAGCCATAAGCAATTCTAACTCTGGATACCAATAGGTAAAATTCTTATTCTTGAGCTTTGCTATACTTCATGTAGTAAAGCATTCTACGCTCTTATAGTAAAAAAAAACCATATATACAGTATATATATATATATATATATATATATATATATATATATATATATATATATATATATATATATAATTTTTTTTTTATTATTTATTTATTTATTTTTAAATAGATGACAAATTTATCTTTTGCAGCCCCTTTGTTTTTTCTATCAGATTGTTCTTAGATCTTTTTGCTAGATGTAAAGTGTTACTAAACCCACAACAGTAAAATCAGTCTGTATATGCAGTAAAGCATGCTTGTTATACTCACTATGGAACCTAAGGGGTTAATCCTCTGCATTGTGTAAAAAGGCTGTTTGATCCTGTCTACCCTTTTACCGATGTCCCCCTCTTATCTCCTGACAAGACATACTGTATCGTGTGGAGCCACTCTGCTCATGTTCAGTTTGGTTTGTATTGCTAGAGAGGGCATGTGATCAGCACAGAACCAATCAGTACTGTCCAGACAGAGATCAGGAGTTCTGCATCCTCCTAGAGCAGAATGAAAACTCCTTCTACAAACTTTAACATGTGCTCTGCTCGACACTGATATAAGGCACAAGACTGCTCTAACCGCTGATAAGAAAAGGTATTTAGCAGTTTCTATTTACTAAAATAATTGCTCTTCCATGTTCTGTGTACTGTGGAAGACTGACTATAGTGAATGCAGGGTCCTGGGTTTAGTAACACTTTAAATACATTTTAACATGTTAACTTAGTTGATCCTAAATTACCTTGTTCCAAAAGTATGATGTTTTTCATTTTATGGAAGGATTTATACTGCATCTACTTCATCAATTCAATTATCGACTTTTGAACCCTCTGCAAACCAACTATGTCTTTTAATAACATTGTACACATTTTCTAGATGTAGCCTTAAATGTAATAATTGAGCATCACATGGGTTTGCATCTGAAGTTGAGTGGGACTGATTAGCTTATTGTTATCAAGTATCCTTAAATCCTTTTCTAGCTCTGTTTACCAGTTAATGTACAGGGTGTAATGCAATACCTGACTTTCATAACATTACATTTTCAAATTAAAATTAATTTGACATTTAAATTCCCAAGTTGCCATTTTTTCATGAACAATTTTTCAATGTCACAATCCCACTAACCTCTAATAATTCAACATAAATGTATGTAATCAGCAAAAATGGCTACAAAGCTATCAGCACCCAGATCATTGGTAAATTGTTTAAAAAGAACTGAATCTAAAACCAGTTAATTTTGCACATCACTGCATCAATGCAATTTATTAATGTAATGTAATTGAACTAAATTCTTGTCTGCCTTACCTTATGTAGCACCCTTCTAGTTAGCTAGGGCGAGCTAGCTGATTACTTTTTTTAGACAGTAAGGCCGAGTAGCAGCCTGGGCAATAGCCAGCTGGGTCAAATTCAGGTCAGAGCTGAGAGGCTCTGCACATCAGTTCCTTGATACTTCCCCCTGCTCTAGAATCTTGGAGGAGATTGAAGAAGCAGTGGGCGGGGGTGAGGAGGGGCTGGTCTGCATACTCAAAGGACTCTGGCCAATCACCAAGCCAGAGGCTTAACACGGGACGAGAGCAGCCCTTAAAGCGAAGTTCCACTCACCCTGTCAAAAAATAAAAGTCAGCAGCTACAAAAACTGTAGCTGCTGACTTTTAAAAAACAGCCACTTACCTGTCCCTTGGTCCCGCGGAGTGTCCCCCGAAGCCCGTTTCACTGGCTGTCCTGTATTCCAGGAGGCCTGCATCTTCAGTATGGGCACTCGGCTGTGCAGCTTGCAGCTGCACAGCCAGGTACCCACTGCGCATGCGTGAGTAGCGCTGCACTTCATGAATGGTCCTGTAGTCTTCTGGGACCTGTCACATGTCCCAAAAGACTACAGGGAGGGAGGACACCTCCCGTTTCTGATCGCCTAGGCAATCGGACCGGAAGTGAGAGCGGGTACGTGTCAAATTTTGGTACCCGCTCCCCCCCGTCCCCCAAAGGTGCCAATCCTTAATGGGGAGTGGGGGAGCAGTCCTTAAAGCTGAACTTCCCCTTTTGGGTAGAGCTCCGCTTTAAGTATGACTGAGCTGGCTCAGCACCAGGAGAGCTCGTGTAGATGACATGAGGAAGACTGAGATGCAGGAGCATGGGAGGGGGCCCAGTGGGAAGGGGCCTACCTACGGGCAGGAAACTGAAAAGGAGGATCTCTCAGCCTCGCCAGAGAGAGGACCACCTATAGAGCCAGGAAAAGAGCCAGTCCACCAGAAGGCCTGGAGGTAGCCACCTACCAACACCAGCTCACAGGAGAGAGACTGAGAGAGTAATCCTACACCCCCTGGGCCAGTTAAGGGGAAAAGAGCACTCTGATTAGCTCCTTACCCAGGACTGTTCAACTTACTGTGGCAGGCACTGGATCCCCTTGCCCAGGGATTCCCTTAGGCATCTGGATAAGAGGAGGATTTATCTGAGGTCTGGGGTGGTTCTGTAGGAGAGGCAGGACAGCTCTCCAAGAAGAGAAACCCTTCTATGGACTTGTGCATAGTTGCTAAGGATTTTGTCCTCAGTTCACTTTTCCTTGGGCATTCCAATTACCCCTTTCCCCATCCAAGTTCAACACCTCTAATAAAAATTAAAAAGAAAAAGCTTAAGGACGGTTTACTGTCTCTGGAATGCAAGTCTGTGGAAAATGTGTGTTGCCTTGCTATGCAGGACTATAGGGGGACCAAAGTCTTTTACGACCCCTAAGGGGTGTAGTGCTACATTTATATAAAACTTTCATATTTAGCCTTATTGGGTCTCTTTTATTCATATAAATGTTGTTTACATGGGTATTGTTTTTGCTACAGAATTTGTTTCAAGTTTTTAAAAAAAGGGCATCGACAAAAATCGATGCCCTTTACTAGATACGTCAATGTCTCTGCTGCTTTAGGAGTTGTTTGGCTCATCCATAATAAGTACTATTTTCTAAGTAGTACTTCTACTAATAACTTGTACTTGTTTTCACTTTAAGCAATAAAGAATGATATGGCGCATTATAATTTTCAATACATTTGGACAATACAGGAATTGTTATTACTTATTTGTGCTTCCATTGCTGTTAGTAGAGAAAAAATATTTTTTACAACATTCAACATGGCAAAATTTAATTTTCTGATCCTATACCAAATGCTACATAGAAGTGAGCACTTTTGCAATGATGCTGCACCTAGCTATACATAGCTTATAGCTGCAGCATGTGCAAATTTCATTTTACATTTTCCCATAATCTGGACACTGATTGATAGCCACTAAATACTAGTAAACTGCTACTTTCAAGCACTCTGTTCTTGCTCACAACTTAAAGTGTATCTGAAGCCAAGACATTTTTTTTTACTTATAGATTAAGTCATGGACTAGGAATGAGGGAAATCAAAACTTTTGAGGTGTCACCAGGGGAAGGGAAATTTTCTAGTGGGAACATTTGCTCCAGTGATAAGTGGGCATTTTTTCTCACTTTGCAAAGATTTCCTCTCACTTCCTGCACAGTCTAGAACACAGAAAGACACATATGGAAAAATCCTGATAGAACTTAAAAGTAGAACTAAAGACACATTTTTTTTTATTTTGGACAGAGTAAGGGAGGGCTTTAACCCCTGTAAGTTATGTTTGGACATCTGTGTCCAATTGAGGAGATTTCTCTTCACTTCCTGTCCCCTAGCCAAAACAGGAAATGAGATACCTCCAAAGTGAGGGAATCCCAGGGTGTCTCCAGAGTCACCAGAACTAGTGTCCACATTGGAAGATTTCCCTGCTGTTACTGTTGTAACATCCCCCTGGTTAGGTGGCTAGGGAAATTTAGTTTTTGTCTCACTCTGTAGTAAGAGGAGTTGGATTGTCTACTTTGGTCTGATGTGGCTCCACAGCCTGTGGGATTGATTGCTTCCCCCTAGTTCTGTTGAGAAACTTCCAGAGCTTGGAGTGGGAAGATACAAAAACTCTGCATGAATCTTTACTACCCTCTGACCAATCCCCGGGCGGTGTGTCCAGGAGGTAGTCAGAGAAGGGGGTAAATAGGCTGACGCCTAGGCTCGGGAGTTAGTTGGTGCCTGGTCCCACCTGCCAGAGGATGGACTGCTGACACTTCAGGGGGCTTTTTACTTCTGAAGCCATCCAGGAGTGGTTGATGGATTGCTCTTTGCTATGGATAGAACCCTCAAATTCTACATCACTCTCGGGTCTGGAAGTAGAGCTTAGAGCAATAAAAACTGACAGGTGTTCTAATCCCTCTCCACTCTGTCCATCTTAAAAAAAGTTTTGCCTTTAGTTCTCGTTCTACTTTAATAATTCCCTACTAGCCTATGAGCACATTAGCCTGCATATCATAGGTTTTTAGTACAGTGTGCTACCACAAAGCTAGATAGTGTAATACATATAAAGTGCTATATTCATTGCTGCTGTATATTACAACTGATTCTGGGGAATTTCAGCTTGTGGCACTAGTGAGAGTGAAGTGTAAGCGAGTGTCGGACTGAAAACTAATGGG